GAGCTCATTTTTGAATTTTGAGGCGGGGGCGGCGGCGGAGGCTGTAGTTGGGGGCTGTTGGGGAGGGGGTGGGGAGGGGGAAAGGGAGGGGGAGAGAGAGAGAGAGAAAAAAAAAAACGCGGATTCGCCGGCTCCTAGTCACCCTCGCCAGGAAAGGAGAGGGAAAGGGAGGAGGAGGGGGGGAAAAAAGAAAGAAAGAAAAGAAAGAAAAGGCGAAGAAGATCTCGAAGCCGCCACACTTTTTGTGATTTCCAGGAATAGAAAAGGACAGCGAAGCCTGCAAAGTCTACGCTTGCATGGCAGCAGAAAAAAAAAAACGCGGATTCGCCGGCTCCTAGTCACCCTCGCCAGGAAAGGAGAGGGAAAGGGAGGAGGAGGGGGGGAAAAAAGAAAGAAAGAAAAGAAAGAAAAGGCGAAGAAGATCTCGAAGCCGCCACACTTTTTGTGATTTCCAGGAATAGAAAAGGACAGCGAAGCCTGCAAAGTCTACGCTTGCATGGCAGCCCCGGCTCGCTCGCCCTCCCCCCACCCCCCACCCCCCAAACAAAAATATACCGCCACTTAAAGAGGTCCTCGCTTTACATTTCGAAGAAGGGATGCCAGTTCATAAACAGTTTTCGGTGATTTACTTCCCTCCAAATGAGTTGTTTCATATTTTGCACTGTCTTTTCATGATCATTTGCATCCATTAGAGACCCCGCATCCTATTGGCTTCTCGGTACTCCTCCCGGACAGAACGCAGAGCGAGGGTGAGAGCGAGAGCGAGCGAGCGAGAGAGAGAGCTAGAGCTAGAGAGCGCCAGGGAGTGAGGAGAGGACAGAAAAAAAAGGAGGGGAAGGAAAAAAAAAACACCCAGGGAGAGAGTGGGGGAGAGGGGGAGAGAGGGAGGAGAGGGGGAGAGAGGGAGGAGAGGGAGAGAGAGAGGGAGGGAGAGGGAGAGAGAGAGAGAGAGAGAGAGAGAGGAGTAAGGGTCAAGTGATTCATTGCTGGGGGATGAATACGGATTAAATCTGTTTAACTACCTACATTAATGAGATATCTCTTGCCTCACAACAAATCAAATACCTTCTCAGACCACCCCCAAAGACTAATGTGGGGGACTCACGGAAAAAAAACCCACACGCACACACATACACAAGGCTGCGCCTGGCGTAGGCACGCTGTTAATTTCGCGATTTTAACGAGGCAATTGGAGTCTTTCTAAATGTCAGGGTCGCTTCGGAAAAATGTAAAAGAACACGGTTTAATTGCGCCGAGTTTTAAAAGGTCCTATAAATGTAATTGGTATTTTAATACAAGTTATCAAATCATACAGCTTCCTCTCCTAAACATATTTTCAAACAAACGAGGTAGTCATATTTAAAGCTTTAATGATCAATTTCCTTATTATTGATAAAGGTTTAACTATCGTGTGGAGGGAATTGGCTGGGTAACTGGCCCCCCAAAAACGGCTGTAAACTCTTTAACAAACTATAAAACGCAATAAAGTCGGAGTCTGTTGTTGTTTATGCCGCAGCGCATAAAAGCTGTTAGCATTTTACGAGTTCTTTCCTCTACAGCTATAAAACTGCAGCTTCGATCGCCCCCGCCGCCCGACTGCAGCACGGTGGGGGTGACTAAGCTGAAATGAGAACATTATGGTTTTTTTTTTTTTTTTTTTTCGGCGCAAACGGTGACTTTTCTGAGATTTTCGCCTCCTTTCTCCTTGCAGGCACCTGCCCCCACACCCTCTTTGGAGACTCCCCCAACCATCGCGTTCTGTTCCCAGCTCAGGTCATTCATGTAACTTTCCCTCATTAAGCAAACACTCAAGGATCTTCTATGAAGGAGTCTGAGTTCTTGAGGGGGGCCTGGGAGAGGTAGAAGAAACTTTCTGGTTAATAGGCAATGCTTTACCTCAGAGCAAAGTTCGCCCTGCCACTGGCAATTTTGCAGTTCCTCCATACTTTGCTGGCTATGGAGCTGCATGGGGGTGGGGGTGGGTCTCCTTAAGGTGCTTTGGCTGGATCAGTGCTTTGGAGGGCAGACTGGAGGAGAGGAGAGGATCTGATGCCACCCAAAGGATGACATCTTACACCTATGACTAGGCCTTGGGACCCAGTAACCAAGTCCAGTTGGCACCTAGCTTTCAGGGGCCAATCCCCAGACATAGATACTGCCAATTTCATCAACACATTGAAAAAGGTAAGGGAGATGGAGGCTGACACTGGGCACCAAAGGCTTGGGGAGACTGCCTGTTGTCTTATGTGCCTGTGCGCGCACGCACACACACACACACACACACACACACCAGTGCCCTAGGCAAGGGCTGTAAAGGTGTGTGTCCCAGGGGCACCTGTTATTGTTCAGTTTTCCCAAGGCCCTTTGACACTGTCACTACCTGCACTGACCTTGGGGTGAAGGGTACCCACATAAAGCAAGACTGCAGAGGTCCCTACTTGGTCTCTTCTCTTGAGGTGCCTTTAAACCCTGAAAACTGGAAGACCTGAGACATTAAACCTAGATGAGGAAAAGATCTGACTGGCTGCTTCACTCCTTGCCCACTGCCTTATCTGCCTACCTGGTCTAGTGATGGTAGGGTCAGACCTTAGGAGGCCCCAATCTGAGAGTCAGAACCAATGACCTTCTGAGGCAGAGAGAGAGAGAGAGAGAGAGAGAGAGAGAGAGAGAGAGAGGAGAGAGAGATTTCTAGCAACAAAGGCACCAACAACTTTACAAATACATCCAATCCATTGTTTATTTAACAGAGGGTAGTTTGCTCTCAGAGAAGCTTATTTTGGGGATCTCATACACCTCAACCTTTGTAAAAATGAAACTATAATGTATCCAAGGGAAATCTACCAGTGGTTTCACTCAACCTTCAAAAGTTAAGTCCAATGAATGGAATAGGAAGAAAAAGGGGAAAGGAGAAGAAAAAGAGGGAAACAGGCTCTAGGATTTTTTACAGCAAGGCTGAGGGGGCGGTGAGACAACCGAAGGCAGTCAAATTGTTGGGGAAGAGAACATTTTTATCAAGTGCGGGGGATTTTATGGCCATGATTTGAGGACTCACTGGTGAGGTAGAAATTCAATGGCTTGTTCTAAATCATCCCTACACCGTGCCAGAAATTTCTGATGGAAGGAAAATGTTTCTATTATAAGAAAAACAAGAAAGAGCGAGCAGATAATTTATAAACACCCAGCGGAGCACAGATTTTTTAGAGAAACTCAAGTTGAGGAGAACTCTGCTGGCCTCTTGGCACCGGGTTCTGAGAAAAAAGAAAACCGGCTGCTCCTGGGGTCATTTTGAGGGGTGGATAGCTACTTCTTGCTCAGGTTTGTTCTGCGAGGAAGCTGGTCCGGGAGGAAACTGAAGATTGGGAATCGAAGGGGCTGTGTGTGGGCAGACAGAGCGACGGGCTAGAACGAAAAGTACCCGAGTACAGGCCTCCAGCTGCCCAAATGCCAAAGGTCCTGCTTTCCCGAGGTTTGCCGGACTCCGGAGGCCAGTGCCAGAGCCGGGGCGCTGGAACCTCAGCTTGCACCTGGAAGCCGAGGAAGGCGCGGAAAACCGAGAGGCGGCTCCCCGCCGCCATGCCTGTCCTACCCTTATCCAGAAAGCCCGCAGTTTTTGGCGGATCAACTTGGGGCACGCTGAGCATCCCATCCAGAGGAGACACTAGAACCTCCCGCACTCTGCCGCCGGGGGAGAGCCCGTCCTAACCTAGGGCGCCAGGCGCCAGCTCAGCCCAGACCAGGGCATCGCACAAAGGCTCCGAAGCCGGCTCCAGGCGCTTCAGCCCGGTCAGCTCGGGGCACCACGGAATATACACAAAAACCAGGCTCCCCATTCCTCCCAAGACTGGGGACCTCCGTGATGGCTCACGGGTCCCCTCTCTAGCTGCCGCCTGGGGCAGCTTCCTCTCCAAGAGCCCTTCTCCGAGCTTGCCTGCTTGCTTGCATTCCTCTATCCCCGTAAAAGAAAAATCTCATTTTTCCAAATCAATTCTCTTTTATTAGGACCCATTATTCCTATTATTAATATTATCCCCCGTTTCCACGCATTTGTCGCCCAACAAATACAGCAACTGGGAAACAGCCTTCTTAGTGGGAGAAATTCAGAAAATTAACCATTTGAGGAGAGAGGGAAACACCACTATAACCTAAATCTTTAAGGGAAAGGTCCATATCAAACCCTATATTTTTATGTGCAAATTATTCATGACTTTTGGTAGCGCTCAGTTCCTAGGTTCAGGGCGGAACAAGGTGAGGTGTGGGGATGCTGGAGTCCGCAGCCACAGCGTTGGAAAATTTCACGTGGAGCAAGGGTGCCATCTAGCGGCCACCCTGCAAAAAAGACGCCCGTCGTCAGCTCGGCCAGGTTCCCTGAGAGCCAGCAGCCGAGGCCACAGCAACAGAAACTTTCCTTATTAGTAGAAATGGAAAAGGAAAATGAAAGCAGATAAGACAAAGGGCTTCTGGGTCAGGAAAAGGTTCATGAAATCGTTAGATAACCTAAGAGAAAAACCAGACAACACGGACAGAGGAAAAAGAAGCTGTAAGTCCACCGAGTCTCTTAATTTCTGGTGGAGAAGGCTAAACAGTGCACCATTTATGGTCGTAAAAGAAGGAATCAAGCACTTTTCAAGCCCTTACGCGATTGTTTCACATCCTGAGGGTAACAATTGGGCTTTTTGTGGGGAAAGAGGAGGCCCGAGAGGGTGGAATGGGGATCAAGAGGCCATTTTCTCCCAGACGTCTGGCCCTGCTGGACCTGCTTGTGTGTGTGTGTGTGTGTGTGTGTGTGTGTGTGTGTGTGTGTGTGTGTGTGTGTGTGTGTGTGTGTGTGTGTGTGTGCCTGCGCGTGTGTGCAAGGATTTTTTTGTTTATGGCTGGCCGTAGAGGGGGTGTGAAGAACAAAGAATTTCATCTCTGAAGCTCTGGGGACAACCAAGTGTCGCCCCCCTCCCAGCTTCCCATCTTCTTCACTCTTTACCCTCCTCCACCCTCCCCAGCCCCAAGTCCTAAGCCCCAGTCCGGAGTTGGTGAGGGGTGAGGATGGGGGCTGCAGAACATGGCCCACCGGTCCTCCTGCCAGGTCCAGAGCCCAGGCCCATCTGTGGTTCTGGCTCCGGAAAGTTTCCCCTCCCTGTTTGCTTTGCTGCTGTTTAGTTTCTTAACCTTCAGAAATTTATACGCTATAAACTTTTATAGCGGTCATATTCTTTTATTGCCGCGCACTCAGCACTGAATTCCTCTCCCGGCTTCTCTCTGCCTCTCACTCTCTGTCTCCCTCTCTGAATCTCTTTTATGACAACTGATTTCCCCACCTCCGGCTTTTTAGCCTCTGCATCTCTGCCTTTGTCTTGAGAGAAGCAACCTCGGGTTGGGGACCCCAGATGCCGCTGCCGGAGACCACTCCAGACGCCCTCGGCCCGACCCTGCAGCGCTTGATCCGACTCCAGCCTCGCTTTTTACATCTTTTGGCCGAAACCAGTCTCCTTGGCTCACTCTCTGCAGGGCCTGGGGAGCCAAGGATGAAGACGCAGCCTAGTCTACACCAGCTGTAAAGCCAGATTAATTTCCCATCCTTAACTAGACCCTCTTTGCAGGACGCCTGTCCCAGGCTGCAGTACCCGGAGCTTCTTTGTCCCCTGCCGCTATTTCTGGGATCCGCTTACCGTTTCGTTAGAGAGGGGTAGGCCTGGCCTTTGCAGGCGGCTTTCTCCCAGGACAGCCTTTGTCCCCACCTCTTCCCTACCCCGCAGTGTCTCCACTGGCTGCAGTGTGGCCGGCGTGCAGCGGGTGAGATACTCGCGCGCGAGGCCGGCGACAGAGCATCAGCACTGGAATCCTACCCGCTGGTAAGAAAGGCAGAGCGGCCAAGAATAGTGGACTTCCAGAGGCTCTGGCAGGGCCACATCAGTCTGAGAGGAACACCGATGCCCCTTGAAACCAGGTGTAACTCTAGGGGCCATTTGGGAAGGTATTTTTTCCCCTCCTGAAACGTTCCTGTTCACAGTGCATGAGCTTCCTTTGAAAGCTGCATACACACCCCCCAGGTCTCAACCCCAGCAGACTCAGCAAGCCTCAGACCAGGGCTGCAGTTCTGTGGCACCAACCCCAGGAGGGGAGCAGGCAGAGAATCCTAGGGGTTCAACCATTTGAGCAACCCAAGCTGTCTCCCACTGTTGCATCTTCATCTACACCCAACCACCCTGCTGTGGGTAATAGAGGAAGACACTTCTTCCTCATATGGAGCTTTCTAGTGGCCATCTGAGCTGAGTCACCTCCTTACAGCGCCTGCTTTTCCTTAACTCTGACCACAGGTCATTTCTCCAGAGCAACTTTGGGTGAAGATCCCTTTCTCTGAGGAGACACAAGCTCCTCTCCAAAGCATGGAGAGTTCTTTCTTCTCAGCTAGTCTGCCGGTGCTACTGAAAGTCTTGCTCAGTTTAAGCAGTGGTCTTGGGACTTTGGGTACGGAGCAGCTGTCAGCTCCACCAGAGCAGGTAGATGGCTTTACAAGGTCTAAGTGGAAACCTTATGGTTGCCAACACTTCAGTATTTTTCCTTTTATTCCAAGCTGCACTTTTAGCTACCGAATCTTTACTTATGGCCAGACGAAGAACACCAACACAGAATAAGACTCAAGAGAGATTTATTTTCTAGAGTGATATATATTTTTTGTTCTTCATTTTTTTCTTCCAAAACAATTAGAGCTCTAGGCCCCTTGCCCTCCCTATTCCCACCCTCAACCCTCCCTTATAAGCAACAACTGAAAATCACCCACAAAGAAATCACAAAACACAAGCACAATTTCACCACAGCCACCAACAAAGCAAAAAGAAAGTGAAATTAAAAAAAAAAGTCCTACTGGAATGACCTCTTTGTAGGGTCAGGAGAAGCAGAAGCATGAGTCAATGGATCAAAAGGGATTGAGAGGCAGGGGGACTAAGGGAAGCCAGGAGCAAGCTTCTGGCCCATGACTAGGTATGATCTGCTTCTTTCCTTTGCACAGGGGACTGTTTCCCAATATCAGGTGCATGCACCAGCCACAGGAGGGGGGAAGCCCTACTCTGAGCCCTGGGGGAGTCCCCCTTTGGCCCTGGGGCAGATGAACCAAGAGGCTTCTCAGAGTGTGTCAGGAAACCAGTAGAATGGGAGAAACCCACCAGCTCTGCAAGCTGGGGTCCCTGCTCCTTCCTGTCCTGACTGCTCACTATGGAAGGGAATCGGGGAATTGATTCACAATAAATTCTCAATCAGACTGTCCTGAGCTGGCCTTTTCTATGGTGGGGTTGACCTAGAAGGGGGTGAATGGTAGAGGAAGGTTTTTGGTTTTGACAAGAGGAGACGAGTCGACTCGCTAGTGTAAGGTGGATTTGGCCAAAGAGAGGGTTGATTTCTGAGCTGGAGGGGATGCAGAAGGATGAAGGACCAGTGGCCAGCAAGGAAAGCTACAGTCTGTCAAGTGGAGAATGTAGAACCACCGAAGGAAGGACATTGTCAAGGTACTAAGACCCACAATTTGACCTCCTTCAGTTGGAAGGAGAGAAAAACATGCAGAATTCAACACTTCCTACAACAAAACATAGGCAGGGTATCCACTTACACTCCCTGCTTTTTCTTGCTCTTTCCAGTTCAATGACTTGAGGACTGGGTTGACCCCATCTGCCCACAGGCCCCTGCCCTGGGGTAGAGCTGGCATGTATTTGGGTTAGGGGCAGAACCTGAACTTACCTACTGATTTAAGGGCTGTTCTGCTGTGTTTGGTGTGCAATGTCTGTATGCAGGGTGTGACTTCCTTTGACTACCTTTCTCTATTGTTAGTATGGACTCCAGACCTTATGTCTATGTCCACAGGCATCTGCTGGGCTGTGTGCAGTTAGAGTGTCCCTGTGTGCTTTCTGGATAGGTACAGGGAGGGAACAGGCAGGCTGGGAGAGAAGAGCTGGGGTTTTGCAGAAAAATGATCGGGGATGCCAGGAGCTTGACTAAGGGCTGTCTTTTCTTGAAGATACTCACTTTCCTAAGAACCAACTACAGCTAGCTTCTAAGTTAACAAAACTTCCTCCTGACACCCAGAGAGAAGAGAGGAATAGATACAGGTAAAGGAGAGGAGACAGGCTCCAGGTACAGATGAGGGACTTGGGCAAGGGGCTACCCTTCCCTACTCACTTAATACATCCCAGACAGCAGTGGCTTTGTAGCCATCACATAAATAAGAGTGAGATGGGGAAGGGGGGGGTGATCTTTACTCTTTGCCCTGCTCCTTATTCATTTTCTTCATTTTCATCCGCCGGTTCTGAAACCAGATTTTGACTTGTCTCTCACTCAGATTGAGGAGTCTGGCCACTTCGTGCCTGCGGTCCCTGGTGAGGTACATATTGAACAGAAACTCCTTCTCTAGTTCCAGCGTCTGGTATTTGGTGTAGGGGCAGCGCTTTTTCCGGGAAGAGCGGGCATGCAGCCAGTTGGCAGAGGGGTTGGCTGAAAGAGAAGCAGGGACAGAATCAAAGGAAGAAGGAAGTGAAGAGCTCCAGACCAAGAGGATGTACCCCATCTCTATTCCCCATCTTGCATTGGAAAGAAAGGTACCTAGGCCTTCAAGATCCCAGAAAGAGCCCTCAGGTGGGCCAGGAGTTACTATAGACAGTGCAGTTAAATGGTTCTTTGGCGAGGAGGATGGAGCCAAACCACCCCAGTTTCCAAAGCTTTGCCTGTCTTAAGTTATCTCTCAATCTTTCTCTACTTGGATCCAAACTGATCAAGACTCAGGTCAGAGCTCAGCATAGCTGGAGCCTCACCACCGGCAACACCAGAAGGAGGAGAGGTGGGTGACCTGAAGGGTCCTTGGCTGGAAATCTGGGAGAAAGGATTGGGAGGGGAAGGGAGTTTCTGATCAGCCACAGGCAACACATCTCTCCAGGCCCTTCAGCCTAGTAGAAGTACACCCTGTCTTGATAGCAAGGTTTCCTCTCCAGACCACATGGTAGGAGGCATGTGAGCCTGTGTGGATTACCCCCCTCACCACACACCACAAATAAGGGTGCACATGTAACACCCAGCACACTCCCTGGGGCTCCCAGATAACTTAGGGTTGCAATACTCATTTCTTTTCTGCTACTCAGCTCACAGTTCGGTTAACACAAGTTCAGGGGAACTGGGGAACAAAATTGCTACAGTCCCAAGGTGGGGGAGCCAGAGATGAGGTGGGGTAGCAGAAAACCCTTCACAGCACTTCTAGCTTTTTAACTGACCCTATAGGGTGGCAAGAAAAGGGTAATTTATAAGAAGTAACTGGTATACAGGCTTTTCTTTCTCTCTTCACCATCTCTCCCTAGACTCCAGAACTCAGAAAAGTTACCGAATAAAGCTGAGTCAATTAAAAATAACATCCACCATCTACCAGCTTCCTCCTCCCCAAATGAAAAGCACTGAATATATACACATACATGTATATGTATGTGTATAAATTCAGTTCATTCCACAATAAGCACCGTCTTACCAATTTGCAGTGCTATTTCCTTAATGTGATTGTTTGGGCTAGGACCCGCAGCCACATTAAATGTGAAAGAGAAAAAAAAAAAAACTGTTAATAATTGATCCTAGCCAAATGGCTGCCTTAAATAATGGGCTTTCCAGGCAGAGTTTGGGGGCTTGGGGCCCGTTTGGGTGTGTTCCTGGATATCAGGTTTTGAGTCAACCTGGAAGATTGGAGGTATCAGGGACCGCAGGGGCCTCAGGGGAGAGGGGCTGCTCTTTACTCTTAAGAGGGTGGGGATGTGTCGTCCCGCCCCCCCCTCCAAAGGGCCCATTGGCCACTGTCGGTGGGAAATCTGATAGGGCAAGAGAGGGCTAAAATACTTGCCCAAAGGAGTAAGAGGTGAGGACTTGACCTGCCAGTCTGTTATTGTGGGAGGCAAAGAGCCCCCAACCGATTTGCCTTTCTCAACCTTAAAAACAACAAAAATAAAAGGAACGCACTCCTCTCAGCCAGTCGGGTATGAGCCACACTTGGGGTTCTGGCAGGGGTGCTTTTAGAGGAATGGAAGGTGAGGCCAAAGGAAACTACCCACCACGGTGAAGTTCTCCGCCCCTGCGCAGCCTTCCCTTCCCTGCCCCCCTCTCCGCGGGGGTCCCTTCGGGATGTCTACTTCACTCAGGAGGTAGACCCCCGAATTTGGAAGTGTTTCCGGGACTCCCTGCGAGGCAGACCGCCCTGGCTAGGGCTAGCGAGCCCCGCAGAGAGCTGCGGGAACAGGGCCGCAAGTCAGGCGAGCACGCCCGAAAAGGGAGGGGGACACCGGAGGGAAGGCTGCTGGGGAGGGGCCGGCGCATCCGGGGAGGGGGCTCAGTCACCGCATCCTGGGCTTCCCCCGCCCCTCCTGGCGCCGGCAGTGGACCCAACGCGGCTACTGCGTGAGATCTGCTAGGAACAATCCTCCGCCAAGCTGTTGCATCGCAAATAAAATCCTAATGAGCCCCCTCCCCCTTCCCCTTGGCCGGCTTTTACCGGGTGCGCGTGGCGCAGGGAGCTCTGCCAGCAGCGCGGGCCGGGGCAGCCGGGTGCGCTCCGGCCCGTGCCCGCGCGGGCTCTCGGCCCCGTTGGCCAGTGGCCCCGGCCCCCTCCGCTCCTCTCCGGATCATCCCCGGTCTCTCTCCCGGCGTTCAGCCCGAGCCTTGGGGAGAAACGGGAGGGGAAGACCAGAGAGCCGCGGGTGGGTCCCCACGCCTCAATTCCTGCAGGACTTGGAGCAGTGGGGGCGGCCCAAGCCTCCTCCAGGGCACCCAGCGCTTCCCTCTGCCCTCTCCCTTCCTTCCTCTTTCCTCCACCCCTTCAGGCTCCACGGCCAGCGCAGCTCTCGCTCCACATTGTCCGTAGTTTATTGCCTCTCCCCTCCCCCTCGCCTGGCCTTCGGCCTGGGTATTTCCTCACTTTTTATAACTTACTTTGATCCGGCCTCTCTTTGTCTTCGCTTCCTTCGCAAATTTTATTGTCCCCGTAGCCGGGTCTTTGATTAGACAGGACGGCCTCCCTGCCCGCCGAAGTTTCCAAACTGTACTCGGGCGTGCCCTGTTTGAGCAGCTCCCCAGGCGCGCCCAGCAGCGGCTCCGCCTTCACCGCCGCCTGGCCCTGCCCCGGGGCTGCCTCGGCGCGCGGCGCAGGCTCCAGCCAGGTGCGGAGGTACCTGCTCTCGGCCGGCGGGACGCCCTGGGGCTGGATGTAGGGGTGGTAGACCGACGGCAGGCTCCCTGACGCGTGCGGGCTGAGCGGCGCCCAGGAGGCACCGAACACTGGAGCCTTGGGCTGGAAGCTGCACGAGGGGAAATCCAGGTGCTCCGCGTGGCCCGGCTGCCGGGGGCTCCCGTACTGGCCGGAAGGAAACTTGGCTGGAGGCGCGTCCTCACTCTCGTGACTTATGATCGAGTCGACATAATAGCTGCTAAGCGTCCCAGAAATGGACATTCTCAGACATTATCCGGGCGCTCGCAGGGGGAAGGGAAGCGCTCGCGCTGCGGCGCCCAAGCAGGGAGAAGGTGGCACCCGGACCGGTGCGATGTCTTTCGGACGCGACCCCCCCGGACCCCCACCCTCCCACCCCCACCCCCTGCTCAACTTCTCAGCCAACAAAGTACAGTGGAGCTGCCCGGCTCAGAGCTCCTTGCAAAATGATTGGTCAAAGTTTTTCCGACTGCCTGATAAAGCGTCAGCTCGGACATAAATCAATCGGGTGAGGGGGCTGCGCTCTCGCTGTCATCCGTCCTCACCGCATTCCATATCCAGGATGGATTGTTTTATGCTGATGCAATGTGCTATCACGTCAGGGCTCCGGCGGCCACGTAACCTCAGCCAGAGCTGCCGGCCGCCTGCCCCGGCCCCTCCCGCTTTTGCCGGAAGGGGGGTTCTCAACATGGGGCGATGGGGGCGGAGGAGAGGCGGAGGCAAGCTGTGGGCTGCCTTGGGAGGGACGCAAGCCGCGGAGCCGTCTCCCCAGGCGGGTCGGAGAGGGAGGGGAGCGAGCACACTGGGGAGGGAGGGAGGAGGAGGGAGAGAGAGAGAGAGAGAGAGAGAGAGAGAGAGCCTTAGCCCCAGAGCTGCAGGAGAGGGCCGACCGGGGTAATTAAAGAGGAGGTAGTCCTGTCCCCCCCCAACACCTCCACCTCCACCCCGCAGGCCCTCATTTCCTGTCCTCTGTCCCGTTGACAGAGATGTTTATTAAACAGCAGCACAGCGATCCACAGGAGATGGAGTAAAAGGGAAGAGAAGAAGTTGGGATTTTATAGGGCAGTTATCCGCTTTGGAGGGGGTTCGGTGCGGTGCACAATTTGGGGAGATTTACATGACTGGGCGCTTCCCTATTTCCCTCAGCTGCTGAGGGAGGAGAAAAGGGAATAAAATGGGATGGATGTCCACAGACTCACTCTGTCCTGAAATTAGAACCTGCCTAAGGTCAAAAGGATTCACGTAGGCCCTGAAAATTGAGTCTACAAAAGAGTTTCATACAACTATCCAAAATCTTCAGTATTTAACTCCTTTACATTTCTTGGGCCTTAATGAAGAGGTGAGGGTATGGCCTTTTCTTCTTTCCGCCACTGAAAACCTCTGGGGCTCTTAAAATTGTCCAGGTGAGGGAGCTAAATATGAGAAAGGATTAAGGGAGCTCTCCAGAGGTTAGCGCAGTAAGGGATATCGGGTTATCTTCCCTTGCACCCGAAAAGGGAGGAGCGGAGGCTAAATTCTCAAGTCCTCTGTCCATCTCTTCTCACCGAGAACTGCCACTCTGGAAAACTTCCAGACACCCTAGCACCAGGGTGTATGGCAGAACCCCCGGGGATCAACCTTTATCCTGACCCGCCGTCTTCTCTCCTGTGGATCCCCTGGATGGAGCTTCCAAATAGTACATTTTATTAGTAGCTGTTCTGCGGCCCTGCGCTGACTCCCCCCGGGCCACCGGCTGGCTTCTGGCGGCTCTCCCAGCCACTGCGCCTGCAGTTTCTGCCTGGGTGCAGTCGCCTCCCTTGGTGTACGGTTCCGGGAGGCGCGGCCCCGGAGGCAGACCTGGTTCCCCCGTGTAAGGGTTAGGGGAAGATTTCTTGGCAGTTCTCTGACTCCCGCGCGGGTATAAAGCAGGCTGTTCCCCAGCCATGGCCTCCCCGCTCCAGCTCCTTTGAGAAAGAGTGGGACCATTCTAAGTTGGGGTTTTATCTTTTTTGGCCGCTACCCCCTCTGCCCTGTGGAAGGCTGAGGATCACCTACACACACACACACACACACACACACACACACACACGCACACACGCGCGCGCGCACACACACGCATACACACACTCCCGCCCGCTTTTCTTTCCAAATGAAGCCATCTCGTGTCATTACATGTGAAATACGAGGGCGAAGCGCCATATTTCTTCACATTATGGCGATTTCAAAATGATTTTTTAAAGATCAATGCTGGCGCCGAGCCGGCCCCTCCAATTCCACCCCCCACCCCTGCTCTTGGAGAAAGACAGCCTAGCAGATCCGGAACCAAACGGCGTGAAGATCTGCTTTTTTCCATAGGACCCAAGTGGGGAAACAAAATTTTGATGCAAATTCTTCTAAGTAGTGGTTGAATGCTTGAGAAAGTCAAGGGACCTCCCTGGACTCCTCCTGGAGAAGCTGGGCCGCCAGCGAATGAATCACAGTTAAGGCAAAGCACCTGTTCCTGGTTTGCTAGACATATGGAGTCTGCTGTCAGTTTTACCTGTAATAAATATAGTCTTCAGTCCAAAAAAAAAAAAAAAAAAAAAAAAAAAATTCCCCCCTCCCCCGCCATAAATAACAGCGTTATGAAGCATGGCGAACTGAGTATATGATTTTCTGTAGTATATAAATTAGGGCCCAAAAGGACACGTGAACTGTGGGCTGGGGCATTTTTATTTATGGAAACCCAGAGAGCTAGGCTAGTCTTAAGACCCAAGCTGTGCAGCACTGGGCTCTGCCTGTCGCCCTCCTGGCTCCCATTCCCCTCCCCTGCTTTGCTGTAAGCCTTTCTGTGCAGAGAGAGAAGTCAGGAGGATCACTTCCTTTAGGAAAGGAGTTAGAGGAAGAACATTTGGGCTCATGGTTTGTGCCCTGTGCTAAAATAATCCAGTAGAGCTCTGATTTGTGGGTTGCTAACTGCCTAGGGAGCCGTCCTCAGTCCCTTGAGGCTCTCAGGACTGGGTGAGGAGGAGACCCAGGCCTCTTTTCTAAGACTAGTCTTTGCTCAAGAAGCTGGAGCTGAGAACAATGTAAAAGAGAATGAATCTGCCCCCAATCCCTGGAGTCTGTACCCTCACCTCATCTCCCTCCTGGTGGGCATGAGACTCTATCAAGCAAAGAGCCTCACTGGAGCCAAACTTTTTAGAAGGGGTTGCTGCCTCAAATTGGAGTTCAACTTCAACTGATGCAAATGGCGGAATGGTCATCTGGGTGTGCGCCCCTTACTGGGATGCTCTATGAGCCTGTGAACTCAAATCTTTTCATCCTTCCCTGGCAATGGTACCTACTATACCAGAGCACAGCAAACATGTGGCCCCTGGAACTCAGACTCTAAAGACACTTAGTAAGAGTCACTACAGTGGAGGTCACTTTGTCCTGGGAGCAAAACTGCTCTTTACCCCACCCCCAATCCTAAAGAGAAAGAAGAAAAATCCTGTGTTCCTCTAACCTCTTGTCATTTCTTGCTTTGGAGACTTGCTTGAACACAGCTGAGGCCAGTGACTGTAGCTTGGAAAAAGCAGGCAAGAAAAAGCTAAAGCCCCTGGCCACACTGGGGCCCAGGGTCGCCAGGAACAAGGAGGCTGAGTTTGAAGAGAGCATAGACTGATGCTGACCAGAACCAGCTGGTGAGTGCCTGCTCTTTGGGGGAGATTTTGGGGGATCTTTGTCAGTAACAAGAGAAAATCTGGGGGATAGAAAAGAAAGTAGAAGAGCAAAAAATTAAAGGAAAACAAATGAGAAAAAAGAAAATTGTTTTTAATTAATAAGCTAAAGCTGAATTTGGTGTATGTTATGGTGACTCAATGTTTATCCTTTATGGCTATTTCAAATCAATGTTTCTGTAGGGGAACCCAGTGTCCAAATATGCTATACTCTAGGCTGTTTACAGTATATGTAATAATCTTCTAAAACATAATACCGTATGTGCCTAAGCATAGGCATCTAATCATGCACACGTAGATATGTGTTATAGTCCCTGTGAATAATTCTGCTCCTAGGAAAAATATGACCCAAATGCTGGTGTGCACATTAAAAAAAACACACACCTATGGAGGAAATAAAAATCTAGACATTCATGTGTTTGAATTTTGTCTATAAAATATTAACTGATTTGAAAGCCGCACATGAAATTTTGCTTCTTAACTTGATATTCAAGCAAAATACACTTTAAACCTTCAAATAAACATGTGTGACTTAAAACTGGATTCTATTACAACATCCTACCAGAACATTTCTCTAGAAGATGAAGGCAATACCTCAAACCGACCCAGGAGAGGTCATGAAATTTGGTGATTTTTGTTGTCCAACCATGAAATCCTTTACTGTGTATCTTGCCTTAAACTACAGGGACAGTGTGCATTGTGTGATGCTTATTTCATGGTAGTGATGCGCACAGGGGTGGAAGGACTGTTACTTGTGTCTTATACAAATATGAAGGAAAAGTAGACAAACTGTGAACATCCTCAAGTAATTGTGAAGGTCATGCAAAAAAACAAAAACAAAACTGCTATGTATACAACAAAACTGTCCAAGTCCCCAGTCTAGACCCCAAGCACTGAAGATATTTCTTCTGACCCCAGGATTAGAGTCAGACCTTAGAGTCCAGACCTAGTCTGGGACACAGTAAGGTTTGAAGACACTTGTTCTACTGGAGCAGAAAACGGAGATCCCAAAACGTTGCACCCTTTATCCAAAATGAGCTCCGAACAGGTATTACATCAAATCTGTATACTGGGGCTCAACCCTGGATGCTTCCACAGCCCCAAGTGGGGATCTTAATTGCAAAATAATGAAATCTTCTGGCAAGCCTCCCTCTTAGGATGTCAGAGGTGAAAGGAAGGAGAGGTCAGTGGCCCCATTGGACCTGAGGAATCTTCTTACCAACTTTCAGTCATCATGGATATCCAAGACAGTGGGAGGTGGCTGAGTCCTTTGGGAGGGGGCATCCAGGAGGCCAAACGGGGTGGGCAGCAGGCGGAGCGGAAAGGGTTCGAGCAGGTAGAAGGTTATTACAGAATTGCTTCCATAAAACCCTTAGCTGTTGTAAAGCTCTCTGCCTTCCAAAGACTTTATTTCCTCCTTTCTCCCTAACATCTCCTCTTTTTTCTTTCTTTCTTTCTTTTTTTTTTACAGCACTTTTCCTGGGAGGGGGTGGCCTGGGGGAGCCTGGGACAGGAGATGGTCAGGCTCCAAGGGACTGGGTAGGTTTCTTAGAGGTCGGAGGAGCAGCAAGGTAAGGCAGCAAGGGTATTCTAGACAGCTTTGCCCACACCGATGATTAGAGAAAATCAAGGAACAGAGTTCAGGGCCTTTCCTTATGGGGCAGTGAGTTGAAGCCCTGAATATCTGAATAGCCTCTGCTCTGGGGGTGGGTCTCTCTGTGCCCTTCTGCCTTAGCAGAGAGGCCTCTTGTTCAAAGATCCCCTGGCCCTCTAAATCAGCCTGGCGCCAGAGTCCCATCCGGTCGGGGACCTCTTTCCTGGGCCCCTTTGCACATTTCCTCTGCCTCAAGCAGGGAGAAAGTTTGGGAACAAAAGTTAGCCTATGCTTTGGCAAGACCCCTCCTTCCACCAGCACTTCTGGTTATTCCTTTCCTGGGCATAGAGCCAGCAGCAGCCTTAAAGGACTGGGGTCAGAGAGGGCAAAATAGCTTTGCCCTGCTCCAGCTTCAACCTCACCACTAGATCAGTTTATAGAGAATTGCACAGCAGCTTGGGTTCCCCTGCTAGTCAAGCCCCTTTAGGGTAGCCCTCAGGACCTGAGTGAAACCACAGGCTAGCATTTAGGAAGGGAAGGACCCCCCCTTTCTGGAAGTCCTGTCCCACTGGGGTGGGGGTCCTAGGAGGGACCCTGAGGGCCTGTAGACTAAGACTGCAAAGGATCCCAAAGTTTGTCCTTCAGAATAGGACCTACTGGCCCCTCTGAGGGCTTGAAACTTTTGCTGAGGTTGAACCCCATCACCCAAAGACTACAAAGACCTCAAGGACACCTCCCCCCATGTCTCCCTGTTGGAAATCAAGCCTTTGTGCAGTTGGCGAGAACTTTTCTTGAAGAATTGAATGTAGACAGGAGACAGACCCTAAGGCAGGAAGCCTGAAGCCCTGACTGGCATCCTGGACTGATTTGCAGACTAATTCAATCCCCGCCTTGCCTGAAGGAGCCTGTGAAGAGATGAATGCTCACACTCCTGTCTTTCTCTCCAAGCGTGCAGAAAAGGGGGGTGACACCCCAGAACCCACCAGATTTCTTCTGTAAGGAACATTTTTCTGCTCCTGGATGAGGGCCCTCAAACTTCCTTGTTATTTGCAAGGGTGACACACCAGTCCTGAGGCACCCTGCCTGACTCCTCCAGCTAAGCCAGAAGCAGTAACTGCCGTGAATCAGGTGGTTTGATGTCGTTGTGTTCAAAAACCCAGGCCCAACAACATGAAACTACCTAATTCACTCAGCAGTCCCAGTTCAAGCTCCAGGTCAAGGGCTCACTGGGGCAGGCCCCCGTGGCCATCCTGTGGGCCTAAACAGCCACTTAGCTTGTTCTTCCTCCATTTAATTTTCCTCTACTTTTCCCCAACAGAGTCCAGTTGCTAGTAAACAATGTGTTTGAAGAACTGGACCCAGGATTCCAGGCAAAAGTATTTTGGATCTGGTTCTGGCAGCTCAGATTCCAGGAACTTCAGCTCTCCTCCAAGAGTCCTGGCCAGGGCCTCTTTGATATACCTGCTTGGTCTGCCTCTCAGCCTGTCTCCACAGCAGGAGGGCTCCCCAGATGAAAAGAATTCTTAACTTCAAACTGCTAGGAAGGTGCTGGTATACTCACCATCTGGCCAGTCCAGGGTTACCCAGACTTCCAGAACAGCTCTGAGAGGTCAAATCTTGCAGCTTTACACCAAGCCCAGCTTTGAGACTGGAGGGTAGACAGGAGAGTGGAGCCAAGAAGCACTGAGAAAGTGACAGAAAGATAGAAAAAGCAGTGTCAGGAAGTATCAGAAATTCTAGGGCACAAATAGGCGCTGTGAGTTGAAGGGGACAGCAGACTGGCTTGAACAGTGGCTCTGAAATCGACCTGCTGAAATGTGCCAGGGCCCTGGCTCCACAGACGCTGGGCAGCACCAGATAAGACAACTCATTCTGCATTTACAGTGAAACCCAAATGCTAACCTGGATCAGGATGCAGAAGACAGGTGGGCCTTTTCTTTCTTGACCTCCAGTCTGGGCCCCTCGTCCCTGTCCCACACTCTCCACTCTTACTTCTCCAGGTACCCACATCCTCACAGGTGCTCAGGCAGCACACCTCTCAATCATCTCCCAGCCACCGGAGGTCTCTTTGGAACTTACCTGGGCAGCCCTAGCTAGGCGGGAGCATGTGTCTGAAGGGAGAGCGCATCCACATTCAGGTCAGACCCGGCTCCCTCCCTGGTGGCGGCTGCAAGAGCTGGAGTAGCCACGTGTCCGGTGGAGAAGTCGGAGGTAAGGAGGGAGTCGGCCTGGCCTAGGGCTTCCCCTGCAGGGTATAAATCTTGGGGACCGGAAATACAATAAAACTTCACCGTGTTGATGAACTTCAAACAGTTTACATCTCCTCCTGTCCTGAAAAGAAACACGTCCGGAGGCGGGTTAAAAGGAAAGGGAAACAAATTTACGAGCCAGAGAAGCCCGGTTTCGGCCTCTTTCTTTCTTGGCTTCACAGACTCTGTCCGCGTGGAGAGAAGTCGCTTGGGACCTCGGGCCTTGAAGAAGGCCGCCCTGCGCACCCTTCTCTCGATGCAGTAGTGCGCGCTGCCCCGGCCGCCTCTCGGCGGGGACTGGAAGCCACCGCCTAACCTGAGCATCACGATCCCCCAGCACAGCCAAGGTCCGGATATGGCTCCCAGCAACCTGCCAAGGCCGAGCTGGACTTCCTGCGCTCCTTCACGCCCCGGTGCTCTCCGCTGAATGCGGGTTTCAGGAGTTTTTCCCCCTCTCTAGCTGCCAGACCTTGCCCTGCCCCTCCCGTTTATTGCCAGGTACTTGCAAGTGTGCGGCAGAAGGTTAAGACTAGGGAAAACTCTCCAGGCCTGAGTGGGCTGAGCGCGGAGGGGCTCAAGAGAACCCGAGGGGCCTCTAAGACGCGCAGAAGTGACAGGGCGGAGTGGTGTCCAGTTTCCCTGAGCTTTACTAACTTTCCCTCCGCTCCTTAAAAGCTTCAAAATCCGACTAAAACAACCACTAACTATGCGTCAATTTTCCACTGTTCTTTCTGTCCTGGACCGTTTGCTTTTTCTAAAATTTCGTGGCATCCGGATTTGCTACCAGTCACTGTGACTCAAAGCTAAGAAAAAGTCCCTTTCTTTTGATGCTCCAGAGAACTGGGAGCCTCGCTACAGATTTCTTGCTTCTTTTGTCTGTCCCAAGTGCCAGGTTAGGTGCTCTCCTGGGGATGCAGCAAAGGGATTCTATTCACCCAAACACGGAAGCTTAGGATCTGAGACTCATGAGGAGAGCTGAGATTAGCTCAGGTACAGGGCTGAGGTTCAGCTGCAGGCCCAGGAGGGGTACTCAGTCCCATCCACACACAGGTGCAGGTCTGTCTGACCTAGCCAACTCCCTTCCTTCCCTCCAGGAAATAGTGCCAAAGCTCTGCTGGAGGTTTTTTTTTTTTTTAATAGATTAAAAAAAAGAAAAAGAAAAGAAAAAGGAATGGGCTCAGAAAACACCAAGCTGTTTCTCATCATTTTAAAATTTTCTGAAAGGCTGATGGGGCTGAAGCCAGTCCCATTCTGCCCAGGCTTGGCCAGAGGTGAACAGTAGTGTGGTGGAGTACTCTGTGGGGGGCTTCCTGGCACCAAGAGGAAGGAAAGGAAACTAACAGCTGGGACAGGAAGTATCTTCCATCCAACACTCATTTTCCAGGAATTACATAGGGAGGCCCCTCCAGCTGAGCTTATTATGTACCTAAATTCCCTCATTTTGGTCTTTATCATGCTGTATTTCTAGTTAAAATACTGTGAAGGCAGCCAGGTCTGTCACACCTTCTATTAGGATATCCCTCTAGAAGTCATACAGGGGGTGAAGGCAGGACAGAAGGGCCAATAGCTCTCAGACTATTAGGAACTATTATTTTCCATCTCTTAAAGGGCTGCCTGGTTAAGGTTGGCCACAATAGTAGGTCAGTGTGCTGGCTCCCAGCCCGCTGTGGGCCTGGTCTCTGTAACTTCCTGAGTGAGGAAAGAGGCTCTTTGGAAAAAGCGGAAGAGGTTACAGCCTTAGAACAGCAAACCTGGAGGCATTCATTTTTACACGTATTTTCAGAGGCTCTGCAGCTTCCCCTCCTCCCAGTCCCAGAACTCAGGACATTGATCTGGGTTAAAAATAAATAAATAAACCTGTGTAGACCCAAAGGACACCTCAAACCTGTTTTCCAGATGCTGGCTGCTTCTTTCCAAGGTTGCCTCACCTGAAAGTCAGCTTCCAAGTGCTCAGCCCAGACTCCCTTAGACAAAACTGGTGCCAGCAAGTACCCTCCTGACTGGTGCCCAGCACTAGCTAAGCTGGTGTTTATTCTGTAAGTAAAGGCTATTTGGGCAATTCTTTCTAGGCACCCCAGATGTTTTCCAAATTCTTTCCCAAAGTCATGTTGATCTCCAAATTATTCAAGAAACCTAAAGCCAAGCTATAAAGAGACATGGCTAGCTAATGGTCTCTCTCTTCCTTTCCCCTCCTTAAAGTTAAAACATAGTGCTAATGGGGCTGGAGAGATGGCTCAGCGGTTAAGAGCACTGACTGCTCTTGCAGAGGACCCAGGTTCGATTCCCAGCACCCACATGGTGGCTACAAACCGTCCTTAACTCCAGTTCCAGGGGAATCCGAAACCCTCTTCCGACCTCCGCGGCATTGCACGACATGGGTGCACTCACATACATGCAGGCAATACACTCATACACTTAAAATAAAAATATTAAATAAAATATTTAAAAAACAAAACAAAAAAACATAGTGATAACATAAAGGTGAGAAGGGGGACGGTGAGGCTGAACAATCTGGGTGGTGAGAGCAGGCAGTGTAGACATAGAAGCAGAACATATCCTTAAAAGAAACTGAAATTGAGACTCTTCCATTGAGTAAGCCACAAGGATAAATATTTCTTAAAATTCCTGGTCCCTTTCTCTTCCGGGGGTTCATTATGAGGCAGAGAAGAGGCAGTTTCTGACTAGTCAAAGGTGGCAGAAGCCGAGTCCCTGACCTAAGCTGGACTTTGTTTTTGCAATTCTTTCAGTGTGGCTGGCGAAGCAGCTCTGTTGTGCGCTGGTGAGGTGGAGAACCCGACCGGCCTCTAGGCGGCGCCCTGGCGTCGAATCGCGGGCCGCAAGATCCTCGCTGAAGCACCGCATACTGCGCGCAGTAAACCAACAGGTTCCAGCGGACGCGCTGGGCTTGGTTGGCCTGGAGCTGGCCGCTGGTGCGTCGCCTTTGGCGCCCTCTGCCAAGCAAGAGAAACAAGATTAAAGGAGTTCTGACTGGGAAAGAAATGGACAGCTAAGGAAGGTTCCACAAGTTCCCCAGCCCCCACCCTTACCCCATCCAGGGAAGTACCGGCCTTCCAAAGAGGACTCTCCTTTGAGAGGATTCTTCTTTGATCTCCCGCAGCCGGCTGCAGCGCTGCGCCAGCATCTTTAACTCCCTCCCCCAACTTGTAAAAGAAGACCTTGAGGTCCGAACAAATTAAGTGTTTAGCCCAAGACTAGAACAAATATTTAAAATAGTGGAGCAGGGCTATTGAATATGCCCTCTACCCCAAAGTGAATATTCTGATCACCATTCACCCCCGCCCCAATGCATTTTTCTTTTTAGCATAATTCATTTCTGGAAAGACAGCCTTTAAAGATCTCTTTGTTACTGGTTTGGGGTTTAAGTTTCAGATTTGGGACACTGCTAAAGAAAATTGGACGTAGATACAGGGGAAGCCCAGCCAAGATTCAAGCCCTAGAGAAATCCAGCCCTCTGCCTTCTAGGAAATGACTATTTTATAAACTTCAGAGCTGTTTGATTCCTGACCAGTGTCTTAGGCCCTCAGAGGCCCAAATGAAAAAGACTTATTGGACAGGCATGTGAAGTTTTAATACTTTGTAAAACTAAGAGAGTATCAAGTGCACAAATGCTTCATTTACCCAAAGCCAAGGGGCAGTTAAGGCCGGTGGCTGCGTTGCTGTCCTTCGTGGCCAGAACTCTATCAAGTTCTAGGAGAGGCAAAGAGAGACCTTATGCGGGTCTGCCCCTGTGATTCTGAGCTCAGAGACATTTAGGACTTGGGAAACATGATAGAGAAGAAATCAAATCCTCTGTTCTTCCCTGGTGACAGAGGCACCATTTCTCCGGAGCCCTCTGCCAAAGTTCTTTCTGGGGCAGACAGGACAGAGAATCCCAGCAGGGAAGGAAGGGCAGAGAGGGGTGAGGGAGTCCCTGGGCTGGACAGCAAAGGGCACGCCTCTACTATGGGGCAGACTGTGGCCGGGACGTCTGCCTAGGCCTCAGGTCCCTGGAGACGCACTATTTCCCAGCCGGGCATCGGCTCTCACCGACGTCTAATTACCCAGCGCACATCTGGAACAGCTGCGCCCCACTCGGCCCCGGGCACATTATTTCGCTCCAAACTCTATTTTCATTCCCAAGGCTGAGTCATAAAAAAACTCTGGAGGCAGAATAAAGTCGGGTCGGGTCTGTGCGTGTCAGCATTCCTGTGTGTGAGTGCGTGCCAGTCCGCGTGCAGCGCCTGGCGTCTGTGCGTCTCACTGTGATTGCCCAATGGATTCGAAAAATTTGGGGGAAAATGGAGCGACATCAGGCGAATTCAACTGCGAACATACTGTCAGCCTCATTATCCGCCCATTTCAAGGGAAAGCATTTGGGTCTTGGAATTAGCCAGTTAATTGCCTTACTTCTTTGTTCACTTTAGGGCAGGAGAAACTATCTGCCTTCTATTAAAACATTCTATATACCAAAACTCGAAGATCTTTTCAACTTCAATTTTATTTCCATCCTGTTATATCCTTGAACATTCAGATTCGTCAGGATCACATCAACCTGACTGAACACACACACACTTTAGGACTGAAAATAACTTAGTTTCTACATCTGCAGAAAGCTGGATGGCTTAGCTCTTAAGGTTGTTATAATAATTAAAGTACCATGTGCCTAGGAATTAGTACATGTCTGCTACATAGAGAGCATTTAGTTAATTTAGTTAATATTAATAGCAAGGAAGAGAAAGAGAAAAGAGGGAGGAGGAGGAGGAGGAGGAGGAGGAGGAGGAGGAGGAAGTCTGCTTTGTTCTTAGAGAACCAGTCTAGTTGGAGGGTGTGAGCTTCAGCCTCCATGTGTATAATGTATTCTTTTGACTTAGAACAGTGTCCATAAACATAAGGCCCTTTGAACCCCTTGGCCTGTAAACTACCTCTTCAATAAGGAGCAGCGAATTGGGGCAATTGGCTCATTTCAGGTTCAAACTCCCTGAAGCCTGAAGTAACTGGATCTCATGGGGGTGGGAGAAGTCTGGGGAGTGGTGCTTCTAGGTGATCCCTTTACCTTTGCTGAGGTAAACAGGGTCCTATGTTAGAAAGTGAATAGAAAGCCAGGCTTGGTGACTGTATGTCTTTAATCTCTTTAATTGAAACTCTCAAGCGAGAGGAAGAAGCAGATAGGTCTCTGTGAATTCCAGGCCAGCCTGGTCTACATAGTGAGTTCCAGGCCAGCCACAGCTACACAGTGAGACCCTATGTAAAACAAAACAAACAAAAAAGTGAAAGAAAAGGGGACAAGGTGTCACACAGGGCTGAAATTAAACAGAGCATGGGGGATAG